AACACAAGCTGGAACACTGTAACCCTTCTCTGATTAAGTCCAATTACATTCCACTGGGGAAGAACATTATTAGCACAGAAAAATACCATTCCTTATTATTCTCAGTGACTTCTTTATCCAAAGGACACTAACTTATTTTACACTTTACCATGAAAATATATAAAGATTTTTTTTATGTTGCAAGTGATGATTGCTACTGTTTTGTACAAAAGCACATGCACACTCACGAGAAAACTACTACTACAAGGTAATTAATAGCCAGAGGTCCAAGTCCCCTCCTTACATAAGGAACTGTGGCAGATGTCATTACTCCTTTTCAACTTGGATTATTAGCTTAAAAAGGTCCTGGAGTCTCTGAGCAGCAACTAATTCTTCTATCAGATTTCTTTGTGCTTCAATTCTTACTCCTCTAAATCATGGATACCACTAAAATGTCCAGTGCCAAAGGTCAAGAACTCCTTAGATACCCTGTAAAGATTAGTCTGTCAAGGCCTAATGTAAGATAAAATTTTTTAATATATCAATACGTAAATCCAGCATTGTACAGGAGCCTTGCTTCTGGCCCTTGGAACTTTCTTAACAATCCTTCCAAGTAAATAGTTATGAGCATTCACTTATTAATGACTTAGTCACAAACCACTGTTCCAACTCTTTTTATACTCAGCTTGTCAAGAATATCACAGAATGCTTTGGATTGGAAATTACCTTAAAGATCATGCAGATACACCCTCTAAACCCTTTCCTGTATACACCAATACTTATCCTTGGAATTCCTTCCCTTGCTTTTAGGTCACAATGGAGAACCTAAGAAAAGAAAGATTCCTAAAACTAGTCTTACCCTTTTTATCCTAAACCCCAAATTTTGATGGTCCAGCTAATGTAGTGCACAGGGATGAACCTTATTTTCTTCAACAAAAGCTTAAGCAGATGTGCTCATCATGCAATGATGAACCCTTGTAAGATCACACAGGTGGCTTGCTGGCTTTTCACTTTTAGTTTAAAGTGGACTTGGATAATATTAAAAAAAATTAAATTGTATTGTATTTGCAGAAAGGGCAGGTACTTTCCCAACAGTACAGGTCTTCAAGGTTCTGTAGTGATTGTAAACACACAGTGTGTAGGACAGCAGATCCTCTGCTCTCTGATTATATGCCTGCCCAAATGATATTAAACCTCTTGAACTTCTTCCCAGCTAGAAGCCATCATCCATGAAGGTTTTGGTAGCTACAGTTGTACCAAAAAATTCCTGGTACTTAATTTTTCTTTGTGCTTATGAGCTATATTTAGTGTCATTGCAAGATAAACAGTATCAGCTACAGGATAGTGGGAAAGAGCATTTTCAACTTCATCAGAAAATATCTGATGGAGTACTCCTACACCAAAAATGTTACCTAACCTAGCAGCAAAGCGTGAAGGAAAATAATTGACAAGGATCTGCAAGTCACTGCCTTCAAGATTTTCCTTATTTGCACATTCCTGAAGCAGAAGAGGGACACTCTCATGTCCTGGCAGGGGAACCTGCAGGTGCAGCAGGACAGCTGGTGGCACAGCAAGGTCCAACCTGCCACTCCATGTATTGGTTATAACAGGGGAAGGCTTGACCTTTTCAGTGCCTGGTGGGACTAGGAACAGGCAGGAAAACAACTTGAATCATTCAGTTATGTCAGGATAACAAAAAAAAAGGCCAGGATACATCTGCTACATGCAATTTTTCTTTAGTGGATACCAATCCTAACTGGAGGTTTGGCAAGTGCATTCTGTGATCAAAAATTAGATATAACCACCTTTGCATTTTATGCTTACCAAAGCCTAATTTCATAATGCTATGAAAAACAGGACCAGTATGAAACAAATCAATACAATCACAAAGATTATCAAAGGTTATACACATCTATTTGAAGTAACAACAATGGTACCAATGAATTTGAAATATGATTATCGTGGCCACCTGGAAATTGCTTGCACCACCTCAGTGACACAACATATTCATAGTCACAGCCAAAGAAAAGACATGAAAAAGGTTATTTAAAGGTGTTTTAACCCATCAAGAGCTACTTTGATATTCCACACTGGAAAAAGTCTATGTAGTAAGTGTTTGTAATAATATAAATTATTTGATTATTATGCAAATCACCATGCATAAAGGAAAGTATTCCTTCTTCATCCTTGAACATTCCCTGAAGTTTAATTTGGAACCTAATTTGCATTCAATTAAAGTTTTAAAGCCCTTACTTTCTACTTTGCTTGCCTACATGATTTAAATCATAATAGCAATTCTTTGCTTGTAGAACAGATGAGATGGAGAGTGGTTTCTGCACCAGTAGCAGACACACAAATCCAGCCTTGATGAACATTTCCTCGAGCTGAGCCACAGTTCCTGTGCTGAGAGAACCTGCCAGCTCTCAGTGCTGCCTTCTCTTGGAGCACTGCAAGAAGTGAATTTGGGAAAGATACTGTGAGGAGTCTTGTGCCTCATCTCTGCCTAAATCCTCCCCTCCTGTGAGATACACATCACTGACTGCAGCTCAGTGGCTTATAGCAGGAAAAAACGTGTCCAGATGAACATTAGGAAGGGATTTAAAATCTTATTTTCTAAAGTCTATCCCAGAATATGGGGAGTCTGGGATTTGGGGAATGCAGTGAAGTATGGCTTGATTTTATGAACTGCTCAATGGCAAATCTGCACGGGATCCAGTGTGTTTTAAGGACTTGATTTAAAGGCTTCCAAAATAGATTTAGCAGAAGAAATTATGAATGGCACATTCTAACCTAGCTATATTGTGATACACTCCTAACTGCATTCTTACACTGGTCTCCATGAAAGAAGTGAGAGTTTAAAGAGAGACAGTGACTTTGCTTTGAAGTAGGTACAAAGTATTCACCCAGCTAAAGCTGTGATAGACAAACTCCAGGAACTCCTCCTGGAGTGTTTTACAATGATATGGCTCCTAATTAATCATCTCTGCACCTATGGCTGCTCCCCCAAACAGCTACAGAGCTGGATTCATGTCAATCATATTAGCTGAGGTGCCAGTTCTGAACTGCAGTGACAGGCTCTTGGACAAACACTCCTCTCTAATGTCTTTGGGGGTGTTCACTTCCAGCCCTGGATCAGGACAAACAGCTGTGTGAAGAAAACATCCTGGCAGATGGCTGTAGCTGTTTGCTTCAGTGCTCATCCAACACTGTCAGCAACTCCAGCACAGCTCCTCAGCCTGCCTGGCAGCTCTCACCTCTCAGGTGCTAATTAGCATCTCATGTGAGATCTGATACGTGACTGCCACCGGCCTGGATAAACTTAATATGCACCAACAGATCCTTTGTGATGTGTTAGTCTGAGAGCACAGCCACAAATACAGCCTTGAAATGCTTTAAAAATGGTTTTCAAAGGCTCCTGGATCTAGGTGCTGCTGGAAAAAAAAAAGGTTAGCTGTTCGTTCTGTATAATCTCATGGAATTTCTCTCTTCTGCTGAGACTGACAGGTTGCAGAGTTGAATTTGGAAGAAAGGTACCCCCAAATTCCCCTTGCTTTCATCATGGCTGCTTCATTGAGCTGTTCATTACTGACTCTCTGGGCCATCTTGAGGATGTGTGCTGGGTTAGTCAGATATTCAACACATATTGGTAATTCAGGTTTCCCTCAGAAAGAAGGTGTCCTTCCACACCACTCTAAATGATCTTACTTCTCACAAGTTTTTGAGTCATCACTGTTTCCTCATTTATCTTCCAAGGATGTTCCTAACCCTAGATTTCTCACAGTATTAAGACTAGAACACCACAAGCATGAATTGATCACAGGTTTCTTTACATCCTGACAATTTTATTATTTTTCTCAGTAACTTTAAATTGAGGCCTGTTTAGGAATTTTTTTTTAAAATTCATTTATACTGGGTATCTACCTGGGCTGTGCAACTCAGGAAGGCTGAAATCTTGAAAGCAGATAATTATATTCTCCAGGTTTCTTCTCCTGCTGTCACTATGAGGAACTAAACATGCATAACAATACACTGGAGTGTCTCTGACAGCCCAAACCAATCTTAAGTAAATCTGAAAAGCTACTTTAGGCTACATAAATATGTAATTAAGCTCCAGGCCTGTAGATTTTCACAACCATCTCAGTGCCAGAAATGTGTGGGCTGAAATATTTCATCTCATTTGCACTAAAATTATTAACAAGACAATCAGAATTTTGGGAATTTCAAATGACTGTCAGGTTGTAACAGTTCTCACAACAGAGAAAGTAGCTGATGATAGGTCAAATCTACAGATCCTCAGGAACAGCTTATACAATAGCCAAGCAATATTTTCTACTATTATGAGGAAATAAGGATAATAAGAAAATAGTAGTTTTCTTGTTGCACTCATGATAAAACTTGAAGTACTACTTTACCTTATAAGATATAGCTAATATACATAAAATAATACATATTAATCTCAATCACACTGAAAAGATACTGCAGAGAATCCTTTTAGATGCCTCTTGATTATTTATCATTTACTCAATCTCAATGAAGCCCAGTTATATAATTTTTTTTTCATTCATAGTTTGTTTACTAAACAAAAATCAATGAAAATTGCATGCAGTGGGTTCCTGTCCTAATCTACTCTAAAATCTAATCTAAAATTGTAAAAATGCAATTACTAAAAGTGCTGCAACAGATAAATTATTTCATCCAGTTAACAGAAATACTTTTCAGTCCCTTTCCCTTTTCTACACACAGAACACATACACTCCCAAAGCAGCATCATGTTGGTGCTACTGAGAGAAACCAGAAATGTTATTAAAGTGATTTCTTCCCTGAAAAACAGCCATTGTTTTAGGATGATGGACTAACAGGAATCTTTCTGTGCTTCACTATAATGTGATGTTGAGTACTTGTCAACTAAAAATCTCTGCAATGAAAACAAATCAACCCAAAATATCTTCCCCAAATCCAACTACATTAATGCCAGTGAAAAAGATATTTAAGAAAGGCTAAAATTTTAAAATTACACTTACCAGGAACAAAGCTTCCCTGGACCACCTCCTTATAAGCCCACCAGCCTTCATGGATTTTTGGTGAATTTTGCTGAGCTAGAAAGAAATAATCAAAGAAACTGTAAAATTAGGGCAAGACACAGAACTTAATTAGCTAAACTTTACTATCTAAGAGGTACTATCCTCTACAGAAGAGTCATTCAAGTTCCCAGGTGATCTTTATTCAATTTATAGAATCATGCTATGCATAAGTATCTTGGAGAACCTTGTCCCTGTTCATCACACAGTAAAATATATTCTGCTTTGGAAGATTTGATCACTGAACTTTACAATTCAGGTAGAAAATGAGCGAATTTATAGCACTACCAGAGGCTTCTGTGCCACCTATGAAGTCAATATGGGATAAAAAAGCAGAGAAAAAAAGAGTGCTCAGTAGTCAATACCTGAGTCCAAGTAGTCTGACTGAAAAGCAGTTTCTCCCCTTCCTTTCCTGAATTTCCCAAAAATCCCTCACTTTGCATGGGAAGAGGTGGCAGAGCAAACCACAGCCAGTAATGTCACTGCTTCACTTCATCCCTCGAGCTTCTCCAAAAGCAGGCCAGAAGGGCAGAGCCCACAGCTTCCCCAACACTGGCCCAGGCTCCAGTGCTGAGGCAGGAATTTGGTTTTTCCATCTTTGTCTGCAATGGAGCACCCACACATGTTCCCCCTCCTCAGCCACACGGGTGCCTTGGCAAAAACATGTTTGTGTCTGGTGTCTGTGCCATGCAGCTCTTTCACATGCCAGAGCAGCTGGGAGCACCGTGCAGGAACACAGGAAAAGACTTCTTTGATCAATATTCTGAAGTTTGTAGCAACAAAAGGCCTAAACTTTGGATAAGGTTTGCCCCTGGTGAGACTTGTTGCCTAAATGGTTTCTCTAAAGTCCTGAAAAGCCAAGAGCAGGAAGGTCCTGACTGGTCAAGTTTGCTCTTGGTCATCACTTCTCTTTGTCTTGAAACTGGAATTCAAGTAAATTTTGTGGTCAAAATGTAAAGTCTCTGTTAATTGGAAATGTTTTCGAAGGGCACAAAGACACACAGCAAGACAAACATTCAGCTGATCTCCATAAGAAAGAAGAGCTGATATACAAGCTGATATATGTTCTGCCTTCACCTGTATTTTGCTTTGTATGCTCCTATTTAGAGCAACTCTCCCTGAGCTGCAGGAAGCTCAGTTACCTCGTGCATCATTTCATTTAGATTTTGGGCTTGTCTTCTCTTTAAGAAACTTTCAATCCCTTTCATTAGGGCCAAGATTTTTTTTACATAAATATGTTGCTACAGAAGGTGGTGTATTTAGCAGCTTTTTGCTTCAGTTTCACTTCTAAATCACATATTATTTATGAAAAACACAACTACCCTGGGGAAAGTTTCAGCAGTATAATAAAAATTGTTGCTGTCATTAAAAATTATGAAGAGGATGTGAAAAAAATTCAGATAAGGACCATTACATAGTGTTCTATCAAGTTACAAAACAGTATTTATGATTTAACTGACTGTACATTGCAGAAACAAAAGTAAAGCTGAAGTTAATTAAATGTACTGACAGAAGGACAATACCCTGCCTTACCAAAATCCAGCCATGCCAGTGGAATGGGGTACATGTGAATGCAGATTTTTCCTTGCAGGACTGATGTTTTTCCATTAACTGAGTACTGATTACAGTGTTACACTGAAGGGACTGTTCCACTATGCACCCTTTATAGTCTGCAGATGAAATTGTCCTCGTATTTTAGTTTTTATAACTCTGCCTGGAGAACTCCAACTGTGCATGACTTGGTTGTGCTAGACTGCACTGTACAAACATTTGGAAAATGGCAAATCCCAACTCACAATCACAGTATATGAGCAGAAAATTGTTCCTATCCAGTCTGAACTGCAATTTTTTGGACCTCAAAACTTGCTTTCACATCCTCAGCAGGAGAAATTCTTAAAAATTTCAAAAATGGCAGTTGGAGAGGATAATAAGGAGTCCAACAAAGTCGAGCCATAATTTTCTACTCAAAATTTCCCAGAAATTACATTGCATTAAAGTGCATCTTGTAGTCATACACACAGCTCAAATTGGTTCAGCCAGGCAGAGGCAGATGCATTTTAGAAGTGGCTGGAAAAATTATAATGATATATATCTATATCTATATCTCTATATATAATCTATAATGATAGATAGATAGATAGATAGATAGATAGATAGATAGATAGATAGATAGATAGATAGATAGATAAAAGCAAACTAAGACTTTGGGTAGGATGGGTATTTTCAAGTTCAGCTGCCTAAGGTAAGGATTCATCAAAATGTATACAATTGAAAAAATATATTGCTTTTTCCCACTCTGGGGCACTCTGAATGATACATGCCAGGTCCAGAAGAGAAGTATAATCCATTATTTGTAGTCTATATTGAACCAAAATTGAAAGATGCTGGCACTGCATTTCTGCTTCAGTGGGTTACCCTAATGCTTACAATAGCTAATTGCAAAAGGAATAGCAGGAAAAAAATATTTTGATGACTTTTTTTCATATTTGCTGCATTAGTATGGAACAGGCTGCATGAAATGAGCAAGAAAACCAGATTATCAAAGCTCTGTGCTAAATAATTGGCTGCCAGTGCAATTGCTTCAGCTATCAGAGGAGAGCATGACCTGGCATCACTCTACACATTCCAGATATCAGATCCTTATCTCTGCAATTCACATGAAAATGAAACACAGAAAATACAATACCAAACTATGATGTTGTGCCCTAGGTATATCTAAGGTAGAGCAAGGGCAGTGCTGGCAGCATTGCTGTTGTACAGAGAACTGAGTCCTCTGAGGAAACCAAGGGGCAAGGCAGGTGGGATTGTGAGGGGGCACTTAGGGTGAAAATCTCCAGGGCTGTGTTCTTTCCTGAACCCTGAAACCTCAGTGCTTTATAGCAGTCCAGGCAAAACTTCCTGCAGTGCAATGCAGAGAGTGACTGAACACAGATTTCCACTCTGCAGTGCATGTGAAATCCAGCTTGGTGCCAAAGATTTACTTGGATGGAGCCTACAGGGACTTTACTTAAAAAGGGAAAAGATTTATAAAGCTCTTATTTCTCTGAATGCAGAAGGAAGAGGTCTGGTAAGGCCAGGGAGAAAAGTTTATCTTCCAAAAACTTCTTCTAAACCATCACTCCAATCTGTGTTATGCAAGTGGGCAAGAGGACTTATGAAAGGAGGAAAAAGCTGTTCCCTGTTTTTGAAACGTAATCAGACCCATACCTGGATTAGTAATGGTACAAGGGAATATAAAATTAGAATGAACAGCCATATGGACAATCCTTGCTGGGAATCCTATCTAGGACACTCACACCTGATGCACACACAACACAGGCTCTCTACAATTGGTGTATTAATGCCCATCTGACAGAATGGCTCTGTGCCTGAGTAAACAGGTTCAACCTTATGGCTCGAGGATTGTTGCCAAGGAAATGGATTCTTCCTATGTGCCACCTCATGACACATGAAAATAGCAAAATTCAGCATCCTTCTGATCTCAGTTAAACTACTGTACCTCTTCCTGCAGTTCTCCCACCCAAGGACCACCTAAAGAGACACATGGGCTCTTTGTGTGGCCTCTGGCACTGCTGTGGTCCCATCACCCGGCAGCTCTGCCCAACAGAGCTCTGCCCTGCCTAACACGGCAGCTCCTTGTTGGCAGGGGGACACAAAAGGTCTAGAAAGCAATTCTGTATTCCTGAAGAGGATTAAATATCTTAAAAAAACAAAAAACCCCACAACTTCCATTTGTAATACCTCCGAGGCTCCTGCGTTTACCACTAAAACCCAGAGTATGACTTTTGCTTCCTAGAAATATTGTTGGTTTTGCAAAGCATGAAAATCATCGAGCTCCTCTGTACAGACACTGCAGGTTACCTGCACAAGGAGCTCTGAAACAGCAATTTTTAGCAGCAGCACTGCATTCTGCCATTAGCAGGGACAGCCCAAAATGACACACTTGTCCAAGTGCTCGAGGATACTGAATGACCTCCATTTGTGCAGCATTCCTGCCCCTAGCATGGAAATCTCTGGTATCTGATATTAGTAGCTCTTCTGATACAACACCATGATGACAGAGCTCTTTCAATAAAGCTGCTGCAGAGGACACAGGATATTTATTTGGAGTGCTGCTTTCATTCTGTCAAGTTGTGCATTCTTGTTTCCTAGTGGTATCCCTGCACAGGCAAACAGCATTGTACAGGATCATAAAAATGCACAGTAAATGCAAACATCAAAGATGCCAATGCCCCTTAAAGTCAGCAGTTAACTTTTTTTAGCTTAGAGGCTAAAGTGAGTAGCCTCATGTTTTTTTTAAAAAAAGCTATTACTGGGTCAGTAAATGTATTTTTAAATGATCAGATACTTTGTGTTGGATACCAGGTACCACCATGCAGATGCTGGAATATCTGCACAGCATTTTCAGTGCTAAGAAGTCCTCATCATGCTGGAATGCTGATGTTGACATAATATAAAATGCTGCAGCGAATACAGAATGCCCCTCAGTAAAAATGTTTATTTGCAAGATATAAACAAGCCATTCTACAATTATTTACTTTTTATACTTACATGAACCAAAGAAAGGCTTTTATCTGATGGCATAGTTTATGTCATTCACATTTGAGCCTGAGCCAAGAGTAGACTCCTGCCAGATCAGAATTCTCCATTCACTTTACTCTCATTTCACACAGATGAAAAATGCTAGACTGGGGAGAATCAGGCTTGCAGCAGTTAGGAAAAGATCCTTCTTCACCTGGATTTTATTGATCTAAGCTCTTCTGATTTCTATATCAATTATTCTACAGGTTTACCTCATCTCACATCTTAGAAGTCTTGTGTGCAATAACCTGACTGGTACTGCCCTGGTAGTAAAAATATGACAACATTTTTATCATTCTTACCCCTTCTGCATAGTTATGAAATTAAAAAGAAAAGCAGCTGTAACAATGAGCCATTAGTTTCATAATAAACTTATTGTGAAACACATTAAGTCATTGCTAATGCTTTGATAGGAAACTCACAGAAAAATGGCAGAG